TCGTCTCCGTTCCTCTCTGGCGTGCTCTCGCGCGCGTTTTCCTACTCCGCTCCGTCTTCTCTCTTCCTCCTCTCTCTCTCACACCTCGCGGCCGCTGCTCCGTTTCACTCGCTCGCTCGTCCCGCGTGTTTTTTCACGAGCGAATACGAGAAAAAAGGAGAATCGCCGCGCGAGTGATACCACCGCGCGCGAAAGAGACACCGGAGAGAACGAGATCGGACTAGCCGCGAGTTTGTGTTTTTGTTTATCACGGACGGACCGCACCGGTAATTACACGCCGTGCTGCCGCCGATCCGCGAGAGGAAGTTGCAAGTGGACGCCCATCGGAAGGACGATTCGTCGCTGGAGGCGACTCGAGAAAGGTGAGTGGCTCCGATTTGTTCCCCATTTTGCATCAAGTGCGCTTCTCTGCGCCGAAATCGAAAGTGAAAAAAAGGAGAAGAACGTATTATCTTCTTTTTTTTTTCTGTATCTTGAATCTTGAATATTGATCATAAAAGCTACTAGAGATGTGCTTCATTTGACATTTGCAACTCCCTTTATTTCATCGTTGTTTACTGAATGTTAAACGAGGATAAAGATGTTCAGCGTTTGTGAACAAGTGGAACGCGTAACGAAGATGATTCGATTCTCGGGAGAAAGAGAGAAAGAGAGGGAGAGAGGGAGAGGGTGGGGAACGGGGGAAAAAGAGAGATGAAATTTTATCGAGGATATAAAAGGCCGATAAATGAATCGCAAAATACACTCCGAGGACTTGTGCAATTCGTTTTTTATCGTATCAACCGACATGCTGCCTTAAAACGCAATTAGATAAATATCGGACAAAGTGTATCGGCAAAAATGCATGTCCAAAGTCGACGAACGAGTGACATGTATTTGTACACGTGTCAGCGTGTAAAATATACACCCGCACATTTGCAAATACATACGCGAAATTGTTATTATACGGGAATATATTTTCCCTAACACTCTGTCGAGGGAGGAAGGGGGGGGGGAGGGGGGAGCTAGTTGATTCATTGTGACGATCAGTATTGTCGACTTGAACACACAACATTGTCGCGCGTACGTTTGTCACGCAAATGTTCGGAGCGCAGAATGACTCCGCTACCATTGTACTATTACGCTTGGTACACATATAACGCTTTCCTGCATTTGTATACTCGTACATTCGTTCATATATCCGTTCACCTCAGCAACAGGCGAGCTTTTTTTTCCCAGCTTTATCACGCTTCCCGTTGGTTAACTTTGGGGTCAATTTTAAAAATCGCGCGACCATTTTTGCGCTGCTACCATTTTTTTCAAAAGTCGCACGTCTATGGCATTGTGCCTGCACACAATGGAGGACATATTAAAAGCAGGAATAAATATTGAAGATATTATCTTGGAAATAAAAATTAGGAATAAAGATTAAATGCGCTGAATGTAAGATATAGCTATCTTATACTATGTCCATTGTGCGTGTTACGTTTAATCTTTATTTCTTTTATTGTCAAAATTTAATATTTAGTCCTGATCCTAATATTTCTTTTATTGTGCGCAGGACTTATCTATCGGAAGGACTTAATAACAATACCCGAGCTTGATTAAGTTCGATAGAGACTTTAGCACTTTGCATGCGCAATTTTATGTACACGCTTATCGTATTCACATGCGTTACTATTGTTGTTGTTATTGTTGTTTCTTTTTCCGTATAAATATTAACTAGGCATTAAGATGATCTGTAATTCCGAGAATACAAAACATCATTTAATTTTTTCGCAATGGAATCGTCGTTTCCTTCGCTCATGCAAAGTTAAGGTGCGTTCAAAGAAACGTGTTTGTTGCATAACGATTGGCAGGTAGCACGCGGCCGTTTCTTTGTAATGAATGAATTTATATAAATATATTGCCGATGAATTTAATTACGAGATTACATTAGATAAAATTTATTGCTGAAGATTTGCTAAAGTGGTTCCGTGAATCGGGTGACTCGCTTTGTGAAATGAACGCGCGTAATGAATGGAGGTGCATTAATAAGCGATCGGACAAAGCGAGCATGGAGTGCGTTATGCATTGCAAAGTGCTAAAGCCATCGATAAACAAATAATCACCGAGCTTTAATATCGCAAATCCTTTAAAACTTAAAAAGCTTTATAAATCTATTACTCCTACATCTTTATTATATTTAATTTCTTATTGCAAAAACGCTCATAGTAGGCGTAGGATCTTTTTAGCAGAATAAGTTCCACTGCTTATTTCACGAGAATTTATTGCAAACATTCTCTCTATTATGACATACCAATTAAATCTTGGATTATTTCTCGCAAAATTTAATTTATGAAATAAATGTCAAGTTATTACATAATCTAAAATTTCTCTTGAGGCAAAGAGAAGGAGAGAGAGGGAGAGAGAGAGAGAGAGAGAGAGAGAGAGAGATATTTAAATTGATACGTTAAATAAATTTTCATTTCTTACTTACCTTCTTGAAATATCATTTATTGACTCTTAGATCTGTTAAATAATTTCATGATTAAACTGATTGAGTTTTTTGTAAAGCGAATTTCGAATTTGAAAAGCAGAAATACACGCGACAGGTCTCTTTCTGCTGAATGTTTTGTATAATACTGAATAATCGTTATTATTTAGTAGTGGACTCGACGTAATGATGTGGCGTATTATAAATTAGGCTAATACAAATTATGGGAGACGGTTTTCTATGAATGAATGCGCGCCTAATTTATTTCCTTGAGGAGTGCATTATGACGATTGCATTTAGCGGAAGGAAATGTGAATTCTCATAATTTTTTCTGTGTAGATATCGTTCGTTGTTTATTCATCGATTCTTGTTATTACAAAACTTGGCGATGAACACTTGTAACATAGCATGGTATAAAAAGTATTGTTTTCCTTCTTCTCTTCTCTCTCTTGTCGTTATTTTATTAAATTTTTATATTTTGAAGTGATTCAACAATATTGCATTAATTTAATCCGGGAGATGCGAAACTTGTTAACAAAAGAGACTATTTCTCTTTTTTATATAGAAGATCTATAGGATATTTAGAAATCTTTCAATTATTTTTAAACGAAGTTGTTTTCTGTTTTATTGTGAGCTTGAAATGTAAATTTTATCAGTTTCGGATAAAAAGCAGCAGTTTCCGTGAGTTCACTTGATTTGTCGGACTTTCGCTTTTTATCATGGAAAAACAAACGCGAAAAGATGGCCTTATCTTGCCACTCGCAAGCTCGCGATTTGTTCTCATAAGAACGAAAAACAGCTTTTAAGTCGTCAGTTATTGAAAATTTGTGTCACTGGAGATTTTACTTAATTTTTTCGCCGGTCGTGTTTTCTTGCTGCTTCGTTTCCAGAATCGTTGAATTTTTTAAAGAAAAACAGATTTTTCCTTTGATATCCGCAATTTCTCGCGTAATGAATCACGACGGAAAATGATTTCCCATTTTCACGCTTTTGAATATGAGCGATGAAAATCGCGTTATAAACGTTTCCGTTACGAATATTAAGGCCGGGTGAGTCACTTTTTAACATTTAATGCCATCTAGATGCTGATTTCTATCGCATTGTGAATCAGACAATTGCATTTCGTTTTAAATTACGACGAAAATTTTAATCAGTTCCAGTATATAATGTCATCATAGTTATACCATTATGTCATTATAATTGCATCCCAACATTTTATCTTAATAATTTCCAGTTTTAACTGTATTAAGGAAAAATTATCTTAAACCAGTTTCACATATGCTAATTCAAAATATTCATGATTCGTGAAAAATTAACTACTCTATTAGAAACCAGTATAATTAATTTCTTATCAAGCTAGTGTTATTTGCCTCGCTTGTGCTTATTTTCTGCTAACATTTTCCCAGGACGGATTTATCGATGAAATTTTAAAAGCGATCCATTTTATATATATTATTGCTTAGCCACGAATCATAAACAAATCAAATATTTATATCTCTAACATGGCGTGAAAAGGTTAGGTTTGCTTGCTGCAGTCCTGCTGTATTCGTAATGAAAATACATCTCTCTTGAGGAAATGAAAAAAGTTATATATCCATCGCGTTACATCTCATATATATATATTCAAATCACTTTGAAAATAGCATGTTGTATCTTTTTCAATAATTTACTTACTCGAGAAATGTTACTTAATTTATTTTTGACCTTCTAATTAAATTATTCTAAATTGTTTATATTAGTAATGAGAATATTAAATATCTCTAAATTATTTATATTAGTAATGAGAGTATTAAAAGGATGCACTCGTATTATTTTTTCTTCTTTTTTTTTTAAAGAGGCTTATTTAATATTATAATTAACTCGCGAAAGACGAAGTTTTCTCACAAAAGTGAAACGTAAATTCAAAAATTCCAACAGAGAGAATATTAAATTTCATTTAAAAATTATAAAATCCGGTATACTATCTCTTTAATTAAAGAGATAGTATACCGGACTTTATAATTTTAAGATTACTTTATTATTTAGTTATTGATGCGGAAATACTTTGGGCAAGATTATAACCGAAACTGTAGACAGATAATCTATGAGCCTCGCTAGATTTTCCCTTCTGGGACTTAGCACGTATTGCTTCAGGCTCTTCAATTATTCACGATACGGGATTCACAACGGGCGGGTGTGTAAAGTATCTAGATACAATATATCTGGTACATTATACTACACCGTAGAGATATTGATATATTGTTTCATTAAACCACTGGTCCATTTTAATATACAAGATCAAAGTACTAGATTCAGCGGATATTAATTAAATGTATAAATTTCAATTTAAGGGAATTACTCGTGAATTTAGGAGAATAAACAAGATTCGATAACGAATATTTCAGGCCGCCTCTTGATTTAGGGGGGAGGGGGGAAATTAAAATAATTGCACACTACGTTATAAAGTCACTCGAGACTGAGCGATTCATGGTCTTGTTCTTAATTTAATAATACAATTTAATGTTGTATATTACCACCGGGAATTTTGTTATGTAATATTATTGGTTGCTGCGAAATTATTAATTTCCAAAGGTTTCTATGTCTCGTGCCGATTTATCGCTGACTCCGCGCCGAGCGCGCGGCGTCTTCGTCAATAAAACAACGCCGTCGCGACTGGCGTGTTAGTGAGACGAAAGCCGCATTAGTCGGTCGCATCTGTCAATAATTATTATCACGGGTGCGCAGTGCGTGCCGCGTTTCGCAGACGGCCGTTGCATGCACGTTATCCGAGAAAACACGAGGCGAGCGATATCAACGACCCGTAGATACGACGCGATGGCGAGAGAGACAGGAGGCAACAAGAGCCGTCGAAAGAAAGAAGGAGAAAGAGAGAGAACGTTGAGGAGAGGAGGATCGGAGGAACGCAAG